ATGGACTACCCAAGTCCACGCCAGTATGCAGCTACAGACCCAGACCTTTGTTGCAAAGCTTGGCCAGGAAAGTGGTCCAACCTGTCTGCTTTCCATCCTCTGACAAGGAGTTGACCTTCTCTGATGGCCTTGATGAGCTGGCTATCATGTTCCCTGTGTGCATCTGGGCATGCTGTCCACCGCACAGGCATCAGCAACTGAGGTGGCCCAGTCTTGGTACATGCACTTCAAGGTCAAATCATATATATCGTGGATTTTTCCCTGTGGCCAGGCTTTGAGTTCAGCAATCTAGTTGGGGAGTTCCCCAAGAAATTTCACATGGGGTAACCTCTGATTTGACTCTTGTGCACACCAACCAATGCGCATACTTAAGGATGCAGCTGCCTGGAGTTCCATTCTCAGCCCATTTCTCACATTAACTGATGGGTGCTGTGGCTGAGCCCTTCACAGACTCGATATTCATGTACACCAGTGGGTGCCATGGCCTAGTTGGGGTGACTCCCAGTAATCCTTCACCAGGCTCACCCCTAGCCCTTGTTTTTTTGTATGTGTGCCATGTGCTGCAGCCTAGCCCATCCCATTCCATATCCCATCAGGCTCTCATGTATACCCATGGGTATTGTGGCTTAGCTCAATCTGAACTGCTCCCAGACCTGGTCCACATATATACCCATGGGTGCTGTCACCTTGTCCAGCCTGGCCTGCCCCCAACCCTGGCTCTTGTGCTAACCAGCAGGAGCTGTGTCCTAGCAGGGAGTTCCCCAAGTTTCCCTACTAGGTCTGCTCCCAGTCCTGAATCTCATGTGACCGAGCAGTTACTATGATTCAGCCTAACTAACAGTACCCAGTGCTAGCACTTGCCAGTTGGTGCTGGGTCCTAGACATGCCAGCTTGCCTCTATTGTAGTTCTCCCATTTCAGTGCATGTGGCAGTCTTAGACTGGCCTGCTTCCATTCTAGCTCTCGCTAGCGGGTGTTACAGCCTAGTCCTGCTGTTACTGGCAGGTCCTGTAGTCCTATAGAGGTAAGCCCACAACTTCCCACAGAACCTTTTCCCAAATCTGGTTCTCTTGCATTCTGGTGGGTGCTGTGGTCCAGCTTGACATGGTTTACACCCTGCCCCAACACTTGCAGCGAGGTGGGCACTGTGGCCTAGCCCAGCCAGGCATGCCCAGATTGTGTGTGTGTGGTGGGCAGTGGGCAATGCTAGTGATCCCAGCCACGGTCTTCCTTGTGGGCAGATGCCTTGGTCTTGGTTTCCCCCCTCTTAACCACCCTGTCTCAGCTACCTTGCCTACCTGTGTGCTGGCCGGTGGAAGCCCCCAGAAGTCTCCCTGCCTGCGAAACAGACCCTCAACACCCCCCACTGAACACGCCCCTCCAACTCCCATGTGGGGGGGTGGCTGACTGACTGACACTTTCAGCTGCTCCCCTCCCTGCTCCACCCTGTTGTCTGTGAGAAGGGCTGCTCCCATGGGCAGTGCATGATGTTAGTTCAGCACCTTTCCTACAAGCACTGGTGATGCTGTTACAGAGGCAGCTTTGGCTCTTGACTCACCAGAATGAAGAATTTTCAAGTGAACAGTTCCGTGCACAGGGCGAGGTTCATGAGAAATACAAACCTGCAGCCACAGTGATCAGGAGGGCAGACTCCATGAGTCTGAGACCCAAGAGAAAGGCAGAGGTGGGGTCTTTCAAGCACAATCTGGGTGAGCAGATTAACACTTAACAACCAACGAGAGGGCAGGGACAAAACCCATCAGAGGTCCTGTCAGACTTGCTTGGGACCGGACAGAAAACCACCAGAAGGGTGGGATCCGTAACTTTTTTGTAGTCTCCTAAGATTGGGAACTCAGGAAGGTGGAATGACACTTGTGTTTTACCGCAAGCACCTTCTGGGCAGCAGGTGTCTTGTATGCTTTTAAACAGACTGGACTTGGGGTGGAGGGGTTGTTGTGATGATTCAGTTGCCTAAGCCTCCACTTCAAGCGTTGGGAGCTCACACTGGTGCCAGTTCATGTCCCAGCTGCTCCACTTTCCATCTAGCTCCCTGCCTGTGGCCTGGGAAAGCAGTGGAGGATGGCTCAGGACCTTGAGATCCTGAACTCATGTGGGAGATCTTAAAGAGGCTCCTGACTCCTGGCTTCGGATTGGCTCAGCTCCAACCCTTGGGGGAGCAAGCTAACGAATGGAGAATCTTTGTCTCTCGTTCTCTAAATTTGCCTTTCCAATAAACATAAATAAATCTTTAAAAATAAACTCCCCCTCCCCCCATTCCAACAGGGATGAGATCCTGACTCGCTATTAGCCCATCTGTCTCAAAAGAGGGCAGGAACAGAGGCTGGCTAACCCTGCCATAGGGCTTGCTGCTCAAATCAACCCCTACTTCCTGCACCACCCAAACCCCTCTGTGCACCACCCAAGCCTTCCTTTTTTTCTAAAACAAACATATAAATACACCTATTGATGTGCAAGGCAGGGCTACCCGGGTAATGTGCCTGGGAAGGCAGTGGAAGCTGAGCTTTGGGGCCCTGCATTCATGCCGGAGACCCAGAAGAGCCTCCAGGTTTGGGTTGCCCTAGCTTTAACTGTTGTAGCCATTTGGGGAGTGAATTAGCAGATGGAAAATCTCTCTGTCTCTCTTTCTGTCTCCACAGTAACTGACTTTCAAGCAAAACAAATCTGCAGATGACAGCATCAAGCAGGTGAGGAGGAGGCAGGCGTCCGGCACGATGGGGCTTGTTGCAACACACATCCCAGTGCCTCGATGTGGGTTCCTTCTCTGGTCCTGGTGTCAGCTTCCCGCTCGTGCTCATCCTGGGAGCAGCAGTGACAGCCCCAGGAGCGAGCTCCTTGCCACCTCCACGGAGACCCTCACAGAGCTGCAGGCTCCTGGCTTCAGCACGGCACAGCTCTGGATGTCTCTGAGGGGAGTGGAGTCGCGGTTGGAAGATCTCTTTGCTTCTCTGTCTTTCAAACAAATAAAAGTTGATAAAGACAGAAGAATTCACAGAGTTGTTGAAAACATTTGCAAATCATGTGTTTCATAAGGCACTGTATCCTAAACAGGAATTACAAGAGAAAGAAATATTTGAATAGATATCGACTTTTTTTTCCAGGATGATAAGCCCCTAAAAGATGTTCAACACTCTTAGCCCTTAAGGAAATGAAAAACAACAGACACCCTTTCACATCTACTAGTGTGGGTGCAGTATGAAAGACAGCAACTATTGTAGGCAAAGATTCGGAAAAGCTGGGACCCTCAGAGGTCGATGGTGGGAATAAAATAGTACAGGAGCTTTGCTTAACAGGTTAGCAGTTTCTCTTTTTCTTTTCTTTTAATATTTTTTTCTTGCAAAGTCAGATATACATAGAGGAGGAGAGACAGAGAGGAAGATCTTCCATCTGATGATTGACTCCCTAAGTGACTGCAAACACAGCCGGTGCTGCGCTGATTCAAAGCCAGGAGCCAGCAGCTCTTCCAGGTCTCTTGGTGCAGGGTCCCAAGGCTTTGTGCCATCCTCGACTGCTTTCCCAGGCCACAAGCAGGGAGGTGGATGGGAAGAGGAGCTGCGGGGATTAGAACAGGCATCCATATAGGATCCTTGTGCATTCAATGCAAAGACTTCAGCTGTAGGCCACCATGCCGGGCCCTACTTTTTTTTTTTTTAAATGATTTATATGTGTTCATTTGACAGACAGATTTTCCACGTTCGGTCACTTCCCAAATGAACTGATCCAAAATCAGGAGCCGCTTTTGGGTCTCTCAAGTGGGTGCAGGGTCCCCTCCATTGCTTTCCCAGGCCATAAGCAGGAAGCTGGCAGGGAAGTGGAACAGCCAGGACACATACTGTTGCCCGCATGGGAATGCTTCGGTTGTAGTGGGGGATTAGCCAGTTAGGGTATCGCGATGGCCTCTAGCAGTTCCTTAAAAGCTTAAGCCGGGAGCCCCGCAATATCTCATTTAAGAAAAATAAGAACACAGGCCCACGCAAAAAAAAAAAAAAACCGCTTGCTCATGAATATTTATAGCAGCATTATTTATAAAGTCAAAAAAGTGAAAAGGACCCCATAGTCCAATTTGATGAGCAAAATGTGGTGTAGCTGTACTACGGACTAATATTTTTAATGAAAAAGATGAAATGCTGGGGGGAGGGCAGGGAAGGAAGTGCGGGTTTGGGTGTCCACGTCATCAGGGGTCCAAGTTCTGGCTTCCAGAATTCCTTTCCTGGATAGCAGATAACGCGCCGGGCCAGCGGCGGTTTAATTTTACTGCAGATTCCTGTCCTGCCGAGTTCCTATTTTAGGTCGGTACAGATAAACCCCAACCTCAACGCCCAGCTGGCGTCTGGAGCTTGTAAAAAAAAGAAAACAAAACCGCTTTCCTGCCTCTCCCAGCGCGGCCTCTCGGCCTCTGACGGTCGCCCCCACACGCCTTGCTCGCCCATGTTTCTTACTAGGTTCTCTCATCCATTCTACACTCTCAGTCGTGAAACAATCTTCTAGCAAGACTCCTAAACACATTTCATAAAAGTTACACTGACTGTAACCTAAATCCCCTGACGCGTTCGTTCCCGGGCCAAGTTTTCGTCCGGCGGGTTTTTCCGAGGAAGCTGGAAGCCCCTCGCGCCGGAGAGGCCACGATGGCCGCCGGCCCCTCGACTGAGGCGGCGGGCGAGCGGGCACGAGAGGGGCGCTGGGCACCGGGGCCGCGGCCGAGCGCCCCCTCCAGGCCCGGCTCCCCGGCGCCGTGCCAGCCCCCCACACCTGGGCGCGCCCGCCGCCCCCGCGCCGTTGCCGTGGCAACGCCCGCCCCGCCCCCCGCAGCCTCCTCCGCCCCTCCCCCCGCCGGGCGCCGCGGCCGGGGAGCGGGCTGGGAGGGGGCGGGCGGAGGACGCAGGCGAGAGGAAATCGGCAGCGCGACGCCCGCGGCCTATTGGCTGCCGCGGCTCGGAGCCGCAAGCCCCGCCTCGCTGGAGGGGGCTCACGTGATCCCTTTCAAAGATGGCCGCCCTGTTGTTTTGATGAATAATACTTGGTGGGGCGAGGGGGTAAGAGTCGGGGTGGAGGGGTAGGAGGATTTACTCTTCCAGCGTGAGCATCGCGCATCCCATCCTCCTCCTCTCCCCAGCCCAGGCTCTGGCGTGGCGGCGGGGCGTGTCCGGCCTGCTCTGGGAAGGGGAGGGGCTTGCCTATCCGGGGCTGGGCTCTGCCCGGGCGGCTGTGGGGTCGCCTTACCTCGGGGCACCCACCTCTGCAGTTCAGGAGTTCCCGCCAGGGGCCCAGGGGCAGCGAGGCGAGCGGGATCGGCTGGGAAGGGTCGCAGCACGCTGGGGGCACGAGCCGAGCCGGGCACCGCGCTGCCTCGCCCGGGCATCTGGGAAGCAGGGGGTGCTGAGTGGCGCCCTGAGACCCCCGGAGCAGCGGCCGGGGCCGGAGGCTGGCACCTGCGGCGGTGCGAGGCTCGGGCGAGGGGAGCGGCGGCAGCCCAGGCGGTCCAGTGCCTCGTGTTCTTCTTTTTTAACCTCTGACTATGCAATTCTGAAACCTCCCCCACTCGGGGGACCCGACGGCCTCTGATCGGCACCTTTCGCGCTGCTGGCTGCCGCCCTGGTCTCGAACGCACAAGGACCTCTTCTTTCTCACGCCTGTCACCATTAAGAGGAAGGCGATGGAGGAGCTGAGCGCTGATGAGGTGAGAAGGCTGGGGGACGCCTTGAATCACTTCCCAGCTCTTGGGGGGCTTTCAACTGGAAGTGACTGGGTGGTATCGCGCCAAGGGTGTCTGGATTTGGGGCATGGGGAAGGAGTGGAAATGACATTGTCGCGAGAATTAAGATGACTCCGGGCGAGGGTCTTCGGTTTTCTTGCTTCTTTATCCAGCTCTCCCGTTGGCTGCTTTCCCAGTGTCCTAGGGTCTGAGCGCCTTGGGATGGGGGTAGTGTCGATCTTTTCTGCGGGGTTTTGGAGCCGAAGGAGATGGATGGACGTCCAGCTGCATTGTGTGTATGTGTCTTTTGGGATTTAGAGACTCATTTTGGATGAACTCAGAACGCATGGTGGGTGCAAAGTATTGGTGTGTGACCCTGTCGTTGTGTTAGTGGATCCGACGCCTTTGTGTTTGGGGGTGGTTTAAAGACGAATTTCTTCGCTTGTCTAAGGAAATGCGTATCTTGTCAGCATTCGAGAGGGTCCTAGTTAAAGTTAGCAGAGAAGTAAAGAGTTGGGGCTGCCTTCTCTTTCATTCTTTCTTTGCCTGGTTCTCAGTTTCCGATTTGTGCTTGGTTGTAGCAGAGCTTGGAGGAGACACAAATAAGTTCGTAAAGTCTGCCCTAGCTTCATTTCTCAAAGAAGCTTGTACACATCGCCTTCAGGGCTTCTTACAGGTTGTTTAGGAAGATGGCTGGAAAAAAGAAAGTAAAAGTTAGTCTACAAGGAATTTCTTTTGGTTCTTCTGATTTTTTTTTTTAAAAACCAACTAGGGGCTTCCCTTTCAGGGCCCCTGCTGTTTCTGCCTGTCTCAGCCCACCTACCCTGGTTTGTTTAAATTTCCCTCAAGCGTTCTGGAAGCGGTCCTTTATCCGGCAGCTTGATCTAGGAGACTTGCCTGCTCCAGTTTTTGGAGGCTCAGTCCCTGTGTTTATTCAAGTCAGCTGAAATTCTCCAGGGATGGAGGATTTGCTGGCGATAGGTTAAGGGTCAGAAAGGACACAAGTGATTTTTGCTCGTGGTGCTAGGTTGTAAAGCCCAGTTTGCGTGTGTGATGTTGCTGGCGCTGTTTTCCTCATGCAGTAAGCATCTGTTCCTAAGTCAGGAACGCATTCGACAGTATCCTTCATTCAGGTGGAAAAAAATGGAAGACCTCCTCGAGGCACTTTTTATGTAGTTTTTAAAAAAGTATCACTTTTTTCCTACTATAAACTCTGATGGATGAATTCTCAGGCAGTGAGCGTGTGTGTGTGTGTGTGTGTGTGTGTGTGTGTGTGTGAGCCCCATAGTCCTTTCCCAGCAGAATCTTCTCAGGATGATGTCTGAACAGTCCCTGGTTTTGAGGCTTTTTCAGTCTTTGGTTTTCAGGATGATGTCCTCAAAGCGCGGAAGTGTACGGACTGCTCTCCAATGTGTCCCTTGCTTTTCCCAGTCCTGGCATGAACTGTAACATTTTTGCTACCTTGCAGGGAATACATGTAACTTTTATGGAAGGAATAGAATGGACTTTTAAAGGGTCAACGGAATTTTAAAATAAAAGTGAAAATTAAATTCACTGTTAAAGGAAACTATGTAGTTATCTTCACATTGTTGTGAACACAGAGGGACAGTTATGGAAATAACTGGTCATTCTGCTCTCAGTAAAACCTAGAAAAGTAGTTTTTCGGGGGAGAATTTTTTTTTTTTTTTTTTAATATTCTGGTGTTACGTGAGTAATTCTCTGCAGTGAGATTTCTAAAGTTTTTGCCTTTGTGTTTTTACAGTGTTAGGATAAAGATGTGACAGGCCGACTTGATTTGGTTAGGAAATGAAAAACTCAGGCAAAGCATTTCAGGATTAAAGCAAGCGAGACAGCACTCCTTCAGTCTAAATGAGGAACGTAGGTAAGGTGGAGCTGGATGTTTTAGCAAACGGACAAATGAGAAGCAGCTTAACAAGACCAGTAGCTTTACAGGATCATATGTTATGATCACTTTTTGGTCCTCCCAGAGCTCATTGGACTTTTGTACTTTTTTTTTTTTTCACTTGCGCTTTGTAAGTCCTATAACTTCCCAGCTGACTATTATGTCTGGGTCGTGCCTTACCGAGAGGTCATTGCTCTGTGACTAAGCTTGTCCTCGGGAACCTGCGTCCCGGGATATCACTGTTGGCATGATGGGCATCGTGAAGCCCGCTCAGGTGTGTTGTTTTCCAGCGGGATGACGCTGTGGGGAGGGCAGGCATTCCAAACTGCGATGATGAAATTGCCTTGAAATGACTTCTCTTTGCTAACCCTTCTTAATGACCTTGCTCAGCTGCAGCTGTGCTGGCTGGCTGGGATTCTAGGTGTGGTCAGGACTGTTGAGTGTTTCTTCCCAAATGCAGAACCTGTCATTTTGACATCTCATCAGCCTTCTATAAGTGCCCAGGGATCCACACTGTGGGTGCAAGGAGCTAAGCAGCAGGGCCCTCCTCTCTTGCTTTCCCACGTGTGTTAACTGGGAGGTGGAATGGTGTCTGCATGGGATGGTGGCTACAACATGGGCCTGAATAAGTTTTGTTTACTTCATAACTGGGGTGTACCTTTCTCAAGAAGCCTGGTTGGAGGGTGGAATATGGCCTCCCAGGCGCTTCCTTCCTTTCCACACAATGATGTGGCAGGATTGACACTTAAGTGAGCTCTAACTATGTGTGCAGCCATTAACTTGCTTAGCCATTTTCCAGATAAGGAGATTGAGGCTAACAGAAGCGAAGAGCTTGCCCAAAAGCACATGACTGGTGAGTGAGGGCACTGGATCCCAGTCCCCAGCCCAACCACAACCTGCTCAGTCCCTTTCCTAAGCCACCTCTAAAGCAGAAATAACCTGAGCAGGCAAGCCACCCGGGCATTTTGTTCTGCCATTGCTGTTGCTGAGAGCCCAGGGTGGGGCTCCTGTCGGGAGGGAGACTTGTGCTGTGTGTGGAGCGCGTGGGCTGTGGGCCTGTGACACCGCGGGTTCATTCCACACCAGGTGTGGGCCCTGTGTGCGTGGAGCTGCCTTCTGGTGGGCAGAGGTAGATAACAAGCAGACAGACAAGTCAAATGTGCCTGTGATAGATGCCGTGACCAAGAAGGATGTCGCCTGGAGGAATGGGGTGTCCTGAGCGGTGTGTCACGGAGGCGGCTCTTGGAAAGGTGCAAAGGTGTCAGGGAAGAGCGGGTGCCAGGTGCCCAAGGTGCTGCATCCTTAGCTGCAGTAGTGACGAGGCCAGATGTGATGGGCTGGCTGTGGCAGCGGGTGAAGTCATCTTTCTTCTCATTTGCTTTGAAGTTGGGGTGCTGCTTGTAATACCTGCTGTACTCACTGTGGGCCAGGTGGCAGCGTGACACAGTTGTCGCTTCCTGTTTACCTGCATCCCTGTTCTGTGACATCGCGGGCCCACGTTCTGCTGTCATAGCCCCTCCAGTGAAGTGCTGCACAGTCAGTCACTCCGGGTTGTGGGCTCTGTGGACATCTGTTCCTCTTAGGTGCCATTTTCTTTCTTTACTTTTTTTTTTTAAGATTTATTTATTTTTATTGGAAAGGCAGATATACAGAGAGGAGGAGAGACAGAAAGATCTTCCTTCCGATGGTTCATTCCCCAAGAGGCTAGAGCTGAGCCAGTCTGAAGACAGGAGCCAGGAACTTCTTCTGGGTGTCCCACATTGGTGCAGGGTCCCAAGGCTTTAGGCCGTCCTTGACTGCTTTCCTCAGCCAGAAGCAGGAAGCTGGACGGGAAGAGGGACTGCCGGGACTAGAACTGGTACTCATATGGGATCTTGGCGCGTTCAAGACGAGGACTTTAGCCACTACACTATTACGCCAGGTGCTGGGTGCCATTTTGAAAGTCTTCCCAAGAAGTGACGCTGATGTAGCAGTGAACACCAGCGGTATTTTGTGTGCAGGGAGCAAAGACCTTGTGGTCAACAAAATGTGCTAGGAGGAAGGACTGCAGCTTTATATTTTACTGCAAAGGCAGAAGTGTACAGTTGTAAGAGACCATGACCTTCGGGTTGCATGGACGACGAGAAATTGCCTTTCATGCCGAGATGGTGTCCCTGGAGGTGGGAGATACTCCACCGTCCTCTGTGGAACTTAAGGGCGAGGAGAGCCTGGAATATGGCCCCGTTGCCAGCTTGTGAGGGCGTTTTGTTGGAGTGTGATGGGTAGTATTGGTTTTCCTTGGTCCTAATATTGGTCTAAATGCAGTCTTTGCAGTGTTCTGGATCAGGAGCTGCCCCGTGACCAGTCAGGTGCAAGTCTGCCCTGGGGGGCTTCTGTCCTGCCACAGTGGCTCAGGCTCCTGAGCAGCTGACAGCTCCAGGGGCAAGAGTGAGAGCTGAGGAGGTTGTGGAGGCCTTTGTAGGAGTCCCAGCGAGAGAGGAGATAAGCGCCTGTGGCCAGGGCTGCTGCTGGAGAGGTGGGAAACGGCCAGGTGTCCACCTGTCTGAGGGCCACATGTCTGCACGGGGTTGGGGGATGGGATGGTGGGGGTGCGAGACAGTGGAGCGGGGCCTGCTGGTGAGGCAGGTGGGTCGGTTTAACAGAGACAGGAAGTGGTGGTTGCTTAAGTAGAGAGATGTTTATTTCTCTCTCTATAGAAGGCTAGGTAGGAGGCCGGGGCTGGTGGGGGAGCTGTTAGGGGCTCAGGCACAATCTTTCTTGTCTCAGCTCTTCCATCTTGTGGTCCCTGTGTGAGCAGTCCAGGCAGGAGCCATGTGATGTCGTACCTTCTCCTTCATGGCACAGCCTGAAGGCTGTGCAGTTACTTTTTCTTTTTTAAAGATTTATTTATTTTTATTGAAAAGGCAGATATACAGAGAGGAGGAGAGACAGAGAGGAAGATCTTCCATCCGATGATTTACTCCCCAAGTGACTGCAAACAGCTGGTCCCAAGGCTTTGGGCTGTCCTTGACTGCTTTCCCAGGCCACAGGCAGGGAGCTGGATGGGAAGCGGGGCTGCTGGGGTTAGAACCGGCACCCATAT